GAATGTTGGAAATAAGAAGATTAATGTTTGATGCTTTGTTTATAAGGCTCAACTGAAAAAGAAAAAAAAACAATTTTTGCTGTAGAAATACCCAGACACCAAAGATCAATGCAAAAATGCAAATATTCCTCTTTAATTTGAAGGAAACGATTTCAATAATAGTTAGTATTTATAAGCATATTGTTTCTAAAACTTAAATACTAACTACAAATCTAATCCATACTTCATAAATCAAGGAAGAAATACCCCGACACCAAAGAAAAGAAAAGTCAGATCTGGTGAAGTTGTTGCTGACTTTAAGGAGGTTCTATCATCACATAAAAGACCAAACTTTGTGTTAGAGACATACAATATAATATTGATCACCCATCTACATCGTTGGCTGGACCTAGATTGATAATACAAAAACTAAAGAAATTTTTTGCAGAGATATGATGAAGGAAGGAATTTATACCCATTAGCAATGTTTTTAAGGTCCCACCCAACCAGATTGCCTGCATCTTCCAGAGCTTTTTCCCATTTCTTAATTTGTTCGTTGTCCTTATGTTTGGCGATTGCTCTTCCAACTGGCCCAGTTTGATGGCGGATGTCGCTGGGCTCCACACCATAAAAGAGTGGATAAGCAATCTGTTGGTTCCCATCTTGGCATTCCATAATCTTCGTGACCTCCTTCAAGCACCAAGAAGAAGATGCATAGTTTTTGGAGAAAACTATGATAAAGAACCTCGACTCTTCAATGGCTTTGAAGAGCTCATCGATCCGTTTTCCTTTCTCCAGCTCCTCGTTATCCCTGAAGGTATGAATACCTTTTTGCTTAAGAGAAGCATAAAGATGATCAACGAAGGTCTTACGTGTGTCTTCTCCTGTAAAGCTTAAGAACACCTGATACTTGAAGCTCTTTTGATTGGATGAACTTGAAGAAGACGCCATTAAAGGTTTTCTCGAGACAGATTCTTAGGAAATAACTGCAAAGAAATTAGGAATGTGTGAACTACACATACATTTTGTGGGTTATATGTAATACACGCCAATGAAGAAATTTCAAATGCCCCGACCAGGCCGCCTGGATTGAATGGATGCATTTGCTTATGAAGTTACGTTGCAACTTGCAATGGTTGATGGAAGAAATCAGCCAAAGTTGACTAATTTCATGTTTACTCCCTCTAATTTTCCAAATATAGCAGGTTTAGTTCACAAGATTCATTTGTTGTCGTGTTCATCCATATTTCCCAAATGTAAATGAGGGAGATAGAGGCAGCATGTGAATAAGCTCTACTTAACCCTACTTTTTTCATCTATTACATATTCCTTTCTAACAATGAGTAATAAATAAGGTAAATTTTTATTTTACTATACGTCTAGTATTTGTATACTTTGTGAGTAAGATATTAATTGAATTTTGTTAATATATATATATATATATATATATATATATATATATATATATATATATATATATATACACACACAAGAAGTCGTGAAGTAGGACCCGAGCCGGAATCAATGGAACTGATTCAAGGACTTGGGGCCGGTGTCTGTCCGGAGCTAAACACCCAGTTCAAATACTGGTATCGGACCGGAGTATGTTGGTTGAATACTAACCGGAACGAAGTGTGTGTGTGTGTGATTTTTTGAAAATTGTTGTTTGATTTGTTTATTAAGTTCAGGGGCAAAAGCATCCAGATTTGTTTATTTTGTTGGTCCTAACCTAATCCGAAATAACGCATTACAGTTCAGGGGCATAATGGGAACTTTTTGAAAAATGTTAATATGCATGAAAATGTTAACAGGAACAAAAGTCATAAGAAAGGTGATCAAAATATGAGGGATTCTTGGTTTCATCAGGGGTAAACTAGTGGAAGCAAAGGTAATTTTCAACATCAAAATGGGGGTATGGTACAGGGGTATTATTGGCAATAAATGGGAAAATTGGGAAGAATAATGACACATTGGCTGTTTTGAATAGTAAGACTAGTTTGGGTAGATAGTTTGCAGGGAAAAATAAAGGAATATATTTGCGGGTACAACTCTATGGCACAACACATGGACATTTGGTTCCTAACTAAAAAGATTAGAGAAAATCCTGACAATAACCAAAAAAGTAGGTTGGTTTGAAGAAAATAACCAAGGAAAAACATATTTTGTAAAATGACCAAAGGATCCGCAGAGCACCGTCTGCGGATCCATTAGATGCTCTGCGGATCCGCTACAGCTCTGCGGAATTGATGTTTTTTGATTTTTTTAATTTTTTTTTCGTTTTCTCGTTTTTTTTTCGTTCATTTTCGTTTATTAATATTAATTTTTTTTAAATACACTAATACCTTATGTGATTATGTAAATAATTTGACAAAAAAAGGTTAAAAATAATGTACTTATGTTTGATATCAGTCCAGATAACTGTTTGGGAATCCACAGAACTGTTATCAGCGGATCAGTGTACACCTCTACAAACGCAATACAAATTAAAAATACGGGAGATCTTTTAATAGATTCCAAGGGCCTTCGAACTCGAATTCTAACCCGTCACTAATGGATATGTATTCCGCTTTAGCCGCGTCCAGGATGACTTCCTCATCTTCATTCGGACGGGCGTCATCAATTTTGGTATAAAGATTGTTGAAAACCAAGACTTCTGTTTTTAATTCATACCATTTTGCTGTGATGTCAACGGTGTTGCGGTAGTTTTTCTAGGGCAGTTTGTGGGTCAGTGTTGAAGGCATAAGTCAAACGCATCTAGTAACTTGGATCATTCACCCTGGTGGTCTCGTGGATATTAATATATGCACGAGTTAGACGGAGGTTACCCTCAGCGCTCCATGGTATGGAAGCCATTATGACGGAAAATATAAGGGTTAATTTTTTAAAAAAATGATTTTATATTACTTATTTCGCAGAGTTGTTTGGTAATCCGCAGAGGTATACACTGATCCGCAGAGGTGTACACTGCTCCTTAGAGGTGTGCACTGATCCGCAGAGGTGTACACTGCTCCTTAGAGGTGTGCACTGATCCGCAGAGGTGTACACTGATCTGCAGAGGTATACACTGCTCCTTAGAGGTGTGCACTGATCCGCAGAAGTGTGCACTGATCCGCAAATGTGTGCAATGATCCGCAGAAAACAGTTCTTAAGTGATGTGTCAAAAACCCCAATTTGGACCTCATTCATTTCTTTCTTACCACTTCGATTCTTCAACACAATGTCTATGAGCTCGTCCAATGCAAGAAACCGCCTCCAAGTTGCTCGTGTGTTTGTTAAAGACGATGTCAACAATTGTGATTACGATGTTCCAGCTAAGGAACGAACATGTTGGAAACTCACTAACCCCGGCAGACGTTTTTGGAATTGCAACAACAGCTTTGTAAGCTTCGTTTATAAAAATACATGTACAATCGTGATTGTTTAAAATACATCTTGGGTGATTAGTCATTGTGTTTTGATGTTTTATTCATGTGGGTTTGATACAGACAAGACTGAGGAAATGTGATTACTTTGAATGGAAAGATGTTGCACTTGAAGATGGTTACTACAAAAACCTCATCTATTCCATGAAGCAACAGTTGGATTCCAAAGAGGATCTTGGTGTCATAAAAAACTTGAGGACTAAGAATTCCGAGTTGGAGTTTCTCCTGAGTAACGAGAAGAGTCTAGTGGCAAGCATGGAGAAGGGGATGTGTGATTCCAAGAAGAGCATACGTATGTACAAGCTGTTGGTAGTTGTTCTAATTGTTGGGTATCTCATGTTTGTTTTGTTTTAATAGGTGTAGTTGTATGTAAATAACAAAATCAAAAGCTAGTATTCCAAATAACACAATCAAAGTCTACTATTCCAAATAACACAATCAAAATCTACTATTCCAAATAATTTCTGCCATCTGATTACAGTAAGTAAATCCCGTATCTCTAGGTGATTGACGTGTCTCCACTGGTACACCCGATGCAAGTATTTCCATGAACATGCACACAAAAACTCCACAATCTCCTCTTTCTCCTTCTTCTACTATTTCTTGTTGCGGCACATGTGTAGCTTTAACGAATTTCACCTCAGTAGGTTTCTGTCTATTGGGAAAATGGGCCCAATATGATATGTGGTCTAGTTCACTTAATATACTATCTCCCAACGATTTGAAACTACCGTCACCCGCATATTTTTTAAAGAAACCACACCATTCAGCTGAATCATATATGGTCACTTTCCATGTAAGGAGATCCAAATCAGCCAAATACCAATGCAGTTGCGGTATGTTGATTGGAATTAAAACCTTCAACAAAATTATAAGTTAGTAGATATATACGCCTCAAATATCTAATAATGTTGTCCATATATGGTCACTTACCCGATCAATATCCTTCCAATGTGGTCCATCAACAATCACGGCTGCTATACGCCTCAAATAATGTTGTTTCCCAGGTTCCAAAGTCGTGCCTTCAGGATTAATAATCGTCCACCTACCATTCGACAGACTTATTTCCTTGAGCAGGGACGACCAGATAACCAAATGTTGTATGTTAGAAAAAAATTCATTTTGAACAATTAATTATCTAACCCTTTTTGTAATATAAAATAAGGGATGTGCGTTACCTCAAAGAGCAACCATCCAGAGCCAATACCAAGTAAACTAGACCAAAATTCCCAATTCATGGCAATACCTCTTAAAAGTCTATGCTCCACAAATACCGCCCCCATCTTCTTTCCCCACAATTTCCAAAATTCATAGTCACAATCTGCATAATTGTCCAATAGTAATTGTCTTTTTGCTACATTATTTTCCTTCTGTGGTTTTTTTCCTTTTCTGTTCTTCAATGGTTCCGTCGATGGAGGAAGCTACAAAATCAATATGTTAATTAATTTGGAAACTGAAAACCTAAAACAGTATACTTCATCGTCTTCGTGTAATCCGCACCCTCATTATCTCGTAAATATCTAGAGATTTTACCAAACCATAATCGTAATTATGTTTCACTATACCTCCACAAATACGTACCCCGTGCAAACGTGTCGTACTCATTAATAAATAATATAAATCATCAAGTATTTATAAATAAATAATAAATAATAAATTTAATACATGTTCCAATTATATTGACTATCGGCTAGCTCATACACTGCCGACGGAATGCACGTATTGTCGTCTCGTCCTATGAGACCCCTCAACAAAAATATCATTTGCATAACCATTACCGCATCCTCATCGCTACACGTCGAGAATGCTGACCCTTTTGCATAGTCTTCTAAATCTTTCAGCCGTAAATCTTCATCTCTCACATTAGGGAACAACCGATTCCTTAATGCTGAACTTCTACTGACTTTTGTATTTATTATATCAACATAGGGTCCAAATCCCAAACCTCTAATCAAACAAAATTCTGTTTCACTATATTC